AAAGATATTAATTTGGTTTTAATGTGATTTCTATTTGCCATCATTAAATAAATTTGGGAAAAATGTGTCCAGGCCCCAAAAGCAGAAAGTTCATGTGACCCGCCCCCTTGTATTTTGCCCCATGTGATTCAGCCCCAAATACACATTGTATTTGTGTTAAGGCCCCAAAGTACCAGATCCTGAGAAAAACCCAACAAAAGTTACAAATTTACCCTTTGATTTGATTGAGCTTGGTAACTGCGCCCATCCCTTTAACCCCATCCCATCTCTCTCTCTCTCTCTCTCTCTCTCTCTCTCTCTCTCCACTCTATCTCTCAGCTTCTCCTTCTCTCTCACTTCCGTCATGGCCGCTGAAAATGATCAGACTGAGGAGGTCGTGGAAGGCGAAGGCGAGGACGGTGGTCATGGAGTCGGAGGTCGGGGAGTCATCTTAGAAACAGCTCGTGAACGCGGGTTCAACAACAAACACGGAACATGGTCCGGGGACCCGCGAGCTGACGGAGCCTGGGGCTTTGGTCTGATGCATCGTTGTTCTCCCCTTTCTAGGTTACGGAATATCTTTACCCAAATCAATGTCTTAATCAAGATAGTGCTCTTGTTTTCTTGTAATTTATGAAGGGAATCGATATTGGATTTTTGTAGTTTTTCTCTTTCATTTAATTGAAATGAGATCTCCTTGGATTCTTGAACAGCAGTTTGGGTTTTTCTTTAATGCCTTTTTCTTGTGTGATTTGGTGATTGACAGAGTTTTGTATAAGAGATTAACAGCAGAAATTCAAAAGCTCACATTGAATCTTCAGACATATCGTCATTTAGACGAATTCCCTATTATGTTTCAGATATGGTCACGTTACATCAAATGTTGCAGAGTCATTCAACAAATGGATACATGAGGCTAGGCTACTACGGATACTTCAACTGGTAGAGCACATACGTAAACAGATTATGGTTCGTATGAATGAGCGACGAACCATGGCTGAAAGTTGGAATCAATTTCTTTGCCCCAAAGCTGAACTTGCTCTCAAAGAGAACATGGAAAATGGTCGTCCATTGGAGGTTCGTCAGTCCCACACAGGATTATTTGAGGTACAATCCCATAGATCTTGTCAAGTGGATCTAGACAATAAAACATGCACTTGCCGTGGGTGGGATGTAACCCGTGTCCCTTGCAAACATGCATGCGCATCCATTATGTTTATGAAAAGGGATGTCTACCAGTTCTGTGACTGGTTTATGACGGTTGAAGCCTTTAAAAAGAGCTACGAGCCAATCCTCTACCCTATCCCTGACTTTGAGAAGCGCATCGTGCCAAGGGATGAGATACAGATCCTACCTCCACTTACAACAAAAAGGAAAGGGAGAAATAAAACCAGGCGTATCAACAACAGAACTGTTTACACGCGGCCAGTAAAATGTTCTCGATGTCATATGGAAGGTCATAACCGTAAAACATGTAATGAATCTATAGCTGACTAAGTGTTTGATATGTTGAAGTGTTTTCGTCCCAGTATGCAACAAATATTTTGTTTTTTTCCGATTGAATGTTTACTCTTTGTTAATCGGGAACTAACATCAGCTTACACTAGATAAAAAGTTGTAAGTAACAAAACAACTATCATATTAGGCCTAACACGCTTAAAAGAATAGAACTAACATCTCAGTTATTCGATGCGCTCGAGGGGCTAGGAGTAACAAGCCAAAGAATAGAACTAACTTGGTATCAGATAGTACTAACATGTGCAGAAGCAGAACTGACTTGGATCGGAACAGATTACAGAATAGAACTAACACTCTACAGGATAGCACTAACACTCTACAGACTTGAACTAATACTGTGCAGAATAGAACTAACACTCTACAGATTAGAACTAACACTGTGCAGATTAGAACTAACACTCTACAGAATAGAACTAACACTGTGCAGATTAGAACTAACACTCTACAGAACGGAACTAACACTGTGCAGAATAGAACTAACACTCTACAGATTAGAACTAACACTGTGCAGATTAGAACTAACACTCTACAGAATAGAACTAACACTGTGCAGATTAGAACTAACACTCTACAGAATAGAACTAACACTGTGCAGATTAGAACTAACACTCTACAGAATAGAACTAACACTGTGCAGATTAGAACTAACACTCTACAGAATAGAACTAACACTGTGCAGATTAGAACTAACACTCTACAGAATAGAACTAACACTGTGCAGATTAGAACTAACACTCTACAGAATAGAACTAACACTGTGCAGATTAGAACTAACACTCTACAGAATAGAACTAACACTGTGCAGATTAGAACTAACACTCTACAGAATAGAACTAACACTGTGCAGATTAGAACTAACACTCTACAGAATAGAACTAACACTGTGCAGATTAGAACTAACACTCTACAGAATAGAACTAACACTGTGCAGATTAGAACTAACACTCTACAGAATAGAACTAACACTGTGCAGATTAGAACTAACACTCTACAGAATAGAACTAACACTGTGCAGATTAGAACTAACACTCTACAGAATAGAACTAACACTGTGCAGATTAGAACTAACACTCTACAGAATAGAACTAACACTGTGCAGATTAGAACTAACACGCTACAGAATAGATCTAACATGGTATAGATTAGAACTAACACGCTCCAGAATAGAATTAACATTGTATAATTTAGAGATAGCTTGTTATAAAATAGAACTAACTTGTATAAATTAGAACTAACTTGGCATAAATTAGAACTAACGTGGCATAAAATTAGAACTAACATGGTATAAAATTAGAACTAACTTGTTATAAAATAGAACTAACTTTGTATAAATTAGAACTAATGTGGTTAGTTCTAATTTTTACCAGCTCGTGTTAGTTTTAATTTATTTAATGTGTTAGTTCTAGTGTTAGTTCTAACAGATATCGTGTTAGTTGTAATTTATTTAAGTCATTAGTTCTACGTAATTGTTGGGTCTAAACGCCATGTTAGTTCTATTTAATGATGTGTTAGTTCTAGCTTCTCTAGTGTTAGTTCTAACTGGTATCATGTTAGTTCTAATTTATTTAAGTCGTTAGTTCCAGCGTAATTGTTAGGTCTAAATGTCATATTACTTCTACTTGATGATGTGTTAGTTCTAGCTTCTCCAGTATCAATTCTAACAGGTATCGTACGTGTCAGTCCTAACAGGAGCTCAACTAGAACTAATATAGCCACTAGAACTAACGCTTATATTAGAACCAACACTAGCTGGAAGTAGAACTAACATTAAATAAGTCAGAACTAAATTAGAACTAACATAGAACAACATAAAATAACATAGAACAACATAAAATAAGTTAGAACAAACATTAAATAACTCAGAACTAACATTAGAACTAACATGAATTAGAACTAAATTAGAACTAACATAAAATAAGTTAGAACTAACATTAAATAACTTAGAACTAACATTAAATAACTTAGAACTAACATGAGTTATTGCTCATGATAGAGTTCAAAAAAGGGCGGGAAATTTCCCTCTATTTTTTCCATCAGATTGCATTAATGGGCGTGACTTTCCATGTAGTTTGTGGACCAGACGTCTAGGGAAGATAAGTGGATGGGTAATTTCGGGTTTTTTTTCAAAATACAATCTCTTTTTTTATACTGCTGACGTGGAGGGGCCTTAAAATATTAAATGGTACTTTTTGGGGCTGAATCACATGGGGCAAAATACAAGGGGGCGGGTCACATGAACATTCTGCTTTTGGGGCCTGGACACATTTTTCCCAATAAATTTTTATAGTTCCAGAACTAATAAAGAACTATACTATACCAATAAAAATATACACGTTAGTCGTGGAGAGCATATATTTCTATAAATGGAGCTATACAGAAATATTTTTGTATATGGAGAGCATATATTTCTGTATATGGAGAGCATATATTTCTGTATAAGAAGCTATGTTTTCAAATAAAACATTATACTTTGCTCAGCCAAAAATTAATAACTATTAAGATTAATAACTTTCATAATTTTGTAAATTAGTCTAATGGATATTAAATCTTTTTTTTCCAGCAATGCAGTCCCAGAATCAATAAAGAGCTATACTATAATGATGAAGAGATACAATTTAGTCTTAAAAGAGATGTACTTCTTTATAGGGTGTTTTTTTAATAAATCGCTATAGTTTGGTCAATTTTGATGGATTTTAGGGATTTGATCAATTTTGATGGATTTTAGGGATTAACTTCACCTAGAATTTAAGGATTGGCTAGTTGAGTTTAGTGCCTTGTGAAAGAAAGAAAGAGAGAACCGATGGGTTTATCGGGGAAGGAAAGACAATTTTGGATTCTAGAATATTTTGGAAATATAATTTTTTGCAAATATGAAGTTTGGGGCTACATTACCAATTGGGTTTATAAATAGGTCACAATGAGTACTTTGGGTGTGTGGGTATTTATAAAAGTGGGTGGATTTTTAAGTAACTGATGGTAAAACTTTGGGTTAAAAGACAAAAATACCTAGAATTTAGGGATTGGCTAGTTGAGTTTAGTGCCTGGTGAAACAAAGAAAGAGAGAGAAAGAGAGAACCGATGGGTTTATCTGGGAAGGAAAGGCAATTTTGGATTCTAGAATATTTTGGAAATATAATTTTTTTGCAAATATGAAGTTTGGGGCTATATTACCAATTGGGTTTATAAATAGGTCACAATGAGTACTTTGTGTGTGTGGGTATTTATGAAAGTGGGTAGGTTTCTAAATAAGTGATGGTAAAACTTTGGGTTAAAGCTCAAAAACCCATAAATTCATACACATCACTGTTCACATCCACATGTCCTCCTATTGAGCGAAAACAACCGATTAACCCTGAAAATGATAATGAAAACTCAAGATCTGAGTCAAGAAGAAAAATACCTGTAGCTTTATATTGCAGAGTAATCAAGTCCACTAGGCATGTGGTGTTATGTTGGATTAAATCCTTGGTTTAATACAAAACGGTACAAACAAGCAAGGCAGATAAGCGTACAAATGGACATGATCTCTTAGAATACCTTCAGAAGTATCAAGTACCCAAAATCGCAGATCAACCGTACGTTTAAGGCACACAAGGCAGTAGTTAGAGAACGAACTCTCTTCGGCGCATATGCTAGGTTAAAAGACCAGTTATACATCATTCAGGAGAAGCACTCTGAACGTAAAGAGGCGTCAAATGATGCCGGTGGCCAAGAACAAATATACAAACACAATCAGGGCAAAAATATAGTTCAAAGACTATACAGGTCTCTAAAACCCTAATAAATACGCATTGGCATTTAAGTACAAGGGCTGCGAACTATACTTAAGGCCCATGCATTAAAATCACGCACGCCACTTTATACAAAACCTAATGTACATCGATGAGTTCATGTATCAGAAAGAAGTCGACATTGTTGCTCAAGACTACGCCGCCTGTCGTTCTTGAAAGATTTTACCGAGCTGAATGTATAGACTCAGTTGCTCTTCGATGGTAAGATTTCTCAATATCTGTATCACAAATGAAATTAGTTATGGCAGAAAATGAAACTCGTACGCATAGAGAAGCAGGGAGACAATTCATACCTGATCTAGAATCGTCTCAACTGAGTAGTTCTCGGCCATGATAAAGGACTGGTGATAGATGTATGCAAACACCGCCATAACCATCTGACAACAGAGTTCAAAAAGAACATAATAAGTAACAAATTCAATGTATATGTGGCATAATCCAGGGGCGGATCCACCTCAAGCAAAGTGCTGTCACATGACCCACTTTGCTCTAGAAGCCCAACCGCCACTAGGAATCCCCACTCATGTTCCCAACCCAACCCAAAAAACAATTACCCCCAAACACGATCAACTTAAAAAACCCATCAAAGTTCGGAAAGAGCTTTTTCTACAATGAAATTGATACAGAGCAAGTAGCAGAATAAAATGTGTGATGTTTGGTTTAATGATTGCTTACTGACACACATTGAGAAAGATGTATTTGGTTAAGAGCTTATTCAGCAAATGGTCAAAGTGACTTATAAACCACTTTGAGATGTTTGGCAAGTGGTTTATTTTTGGTGGATTATAAGGCATGAGATTTGACAAAGTAAAAGACAATTAAACCCCTTATGATTGCACAAAAACCCAAGGCATCATTTATAAAGTCACCAACAACCCCATGTATTTTTTGGTCATTTTGACAATTATGATGGATTATAATCCACCAATTTGCTAAACACTACTACTAAAAAGGGATTATGATACACTAATTTACCAAACACTGTAGATTACGAACCACTCGGATTGCAATCCATTTGTGCATTATAATTCAAGTGGACTATAATCCAAGTGGACTATAATCTAACCCAAACATGCTCTAATACTAATGATACGATTATGTATTTTTTTAAACAGGATATGAAAGCTTGTCGAGGAAAATTGTAAATTATTTTAACAATTAATTATGTAGTAACACCACTTTCCAGAAATCCTGGATCTGACACTGGCATAATCTATAAAATATCTAGGCATATGATAGTTCAGGTGTACTCACATTTACTTAATGAACTAGAAGAATATGACAAAAAATAATAAACTAGAAGAATACGACAAAAAACAGTAAGAGCTTTTATTGCAGGCATATAAATATCACATAGCAAAATATATACATGAACTGTTATGTTATTCTCAACAGGGAAGACATTTTCTGCAAGATGATTTAACATTAGCCAGGTTATGCATGTTCAAAGGAGACCCTTGTTCAGAACAAGGTCAGATCTCGCTTTTAGAGAGATATTGACACTAATGTTCACATTACCATATATATAGAAACCGTAAGGAGAGACTCTTTAAAACTTTCAATTGTAACTGTGACTCCCACAATGTAACCTAAGAATCTTATGCATTCACACATTACTCGACCTATGTAATTTCTCAACTCAATAAATCATGGTGCACAAAATGTAACTATCTACACAAAAGTAAGCATAGAAAGGGAGAAGAGGAAGAAGATAAAAACATAGCTACTATTAGGCACCGACTAGATGATCCTTCGATACGCACTTTGGCATAACAAAAGAAGCTCACTAAAAATCTATTTTCTATTTAAAATTTATTTAAGAACTATTGGTAACAAAAGAAAATATTTGCATGTTGATAATCACCCTTTACATGGAGGAAGAGTGCTATTGCGACTAGTTCTATATTAGCAGAAAGATGAGAATTATTAACACACTGAATGTGCTGCTAGTACACAATGTTAGTAGTTTTTTAAGAAGAAAATAAGAAATGAGTCTAGTAAGCACATTCACCATATGATAATTAGGTGACGTAAACCATCGTTTCATACTAGCAAGCAATAATGTCTAAAGCTTTCAAATTTCAAACTTTGAAGAACTTACTTGGCAGTCCATTCTATCAGTAATTCCACCATGTCCAGGAATGCTATCACCAAAATCCTAAACAAAGGGAAAAGGAATGTATTACTTTCATGTAATGTTTTCTGGTACTTAACAAATCACGACCATAATAGTAAAAAAAGAAATCACCTTAATTTTGAAAGCTCTCTTGAATGGTACTTAACAAATCACGACCATAATAGTAAAAAAAGAAATCACCTTAATTTTGAAAGCTCTCTTGAATCCACTGGCAAAGAATCCTCCAAATGGTGCAATAATTGACGCGAATAAACCAAAAGCCAACGCATGCCATTGAACTGGCAAAATATACACCTCTTTCCATGGAAACTGTAGAGATATAGGTAGATATCAGCATGTATTTAAATGTAAAATCAATGTTCAATAATGAAACGAATGTCAGTTCACCAGATAATAACATAAAGAAATTCTGTAGAAGATGAAGTAATTATTTACTGATAACTCCAAGAAACAAGTTCTTCATAGCTGATTAAGATGTATTCCAATAACTGATGCACTAATTATTTAATAGCAACCAACACCAAAACAATCTGAGTTTTAAGTTTCGCAGAGCTTTTACTAATGAAACAGTCAAATCCATTCCTCCTCTTCCTTTTCGAAAGAAACGGGAAGCAACAATGTCAAAATAAATCTATATCCAGGCAGGCATATGACAGTGAAAAAATAGATGAATACCTATAGACTACATAAACAAAAAACTGATAACTAGAACTTGTCTCACCCATTGAGGCACAATTCCCGCCAAAGAATAGTACTCTGGCTTAAACATTGGATCAGGATCACAGTGAAGCCAACCAGTAGACAAGTCCTGCAGGAGTTCATAAACAAAAATTGGGTTAATCAATGCCCTAAAACAAGGACCAATTTCACACCAGAGGTTGCTTCCCATATCGCAGTAAAAGAAATAGATTACCTTTCTAGGACATGTTAACCACTGAAAGCGTCCAAGCACATTTGCTAACTGTAAAAAAAAATCAAAATAAAATGGAATGGCTGCAAAGTGCAAAAGGCTCACATATATAAAAGAAGAATTCAAGGACAAAACTCTTGTGAAAAACAACCTCGAGTATATCAAAAGCAATAAAGTAAGAAGCAAGGCATGGAAAAAACATTTCAGCTTTACAAGTTACAAATCTTAAAGAACCACCAATTTGGTAATGTAGAGTTAAAGCCTTAAAGGTGTTCAAAGACGAGGGCCTGGACCATCAAGAAGGACAGGAGGAGAAAGCATCTAATTTGAAAAGGTTTCACGTTCAGTAGGATTTGGGAAGATAGTAGTTTGTTTACTTTGAAGTTCTCTCATGTTGAGCCCATTTATTTCAAATACTTGTAATTTTGAAATGATTTTTTTTTACTACAGGAGGTAGGTATTCAAGGTGGCCAGCACTGAAATTGAATCTGTGAACACTAAAATTGTGACATCTCATTCATAGTACTACTTGTTAGTGCCTCACTTGATATAGTTGGATATCATGTTCGCTTCCAACTAAAGGGATTAGGTTTATAATGAGAGGTTCAAACTAGTTAAACATCAAACTTTTCAAACGATGCAGTACATATGGAGGGTTGCGATCTAATCTTTTAGTCGAATCTAATTATTTAGCATTTACTAATAATATAAGACCTCAATGAACAAATATGGGTAACTTTTATGCAAAGAACAAAACACGGGGGTGACATTACAGCTAGTCCATCTTGCCTAGATTAATCAATGCCTCATGTAATTATGGCAAGAGTTGCCGTAACCTTCCACTCTTCCAATTTATTAAATGGATAATATTACTCCTTTTAAGACTAGCTATCCTCCTTCTATTATCAACCATTTATGGCTAACATTTAGGCTTAGAGCAACCTTTCTTCTACTAGTTAGTCATTTATAGCAATCATTCAAAGTTAGGGCTGCAACCTTCTCCGGATGACAAAAGGTAACACTACTGTAGTAGTGTAGTGTTCAGTTCAACTTCCATATTAATTTATTCCTCCAGGGAGTATTATTCCAAGAGTCAGCACCGCTACAAACATGTTCATGGCGCAAATGTATGAGTGATCATGAGGAAAATTTTCTCGTCACCCTAAAGCAGATCATCACTAGTAGACTTGGCCTCTTTGTGGACCATCACCATCACTCCTTCCCAGTCCATATGCTCTGTCCCACTAATCTACTTTCCTCTCAACCAAGGTTACGGAAAGCGCTAAGCGGTCTAGGCGGATTTCTTTCTTCATTTAAGTGGTCGTGAAGGAGGTTTTGCTGAAGGTCAGAGGGGGTAGATGAGGTGTTCATAGTTGGAGGCAGGAGGAGTTTAGAGGACGTGGAGGTTACAACAGAGGAAATCCCAATTAAGGCCTAAAGAGTGCAATCCATGTAAGCAGATCATGCTCCCCTTGACGCTCCCAAAACCTAGGTGGGCAGCCTAGATACCGCCTAGGCGTTAGCGCTCCCAAAACCTAGGTGGGCAGCCTAGATACCGCCTAGGCGTTAGCTGCCAAGCAGGCAACCTAGATATCACCTAGGTCTAGGCATATGCCTAGGTGGGCTAGGCGGAGGCTTTTCAAAACATTGCTCTCAAAAACAATGTCCTAGTTCAGTTAAAAAGGTGTGGGAATGTGGGATGATGGTCCCCTGGTTAAAACAATTATAATAAATATTTCATAAGGCAAATTAAGTGGGAATCATTAGTAACCAAATAAGCATAATAAAAAGATTCAATGAATTAACTCGTCTTATAAGAGATTGAAAAAGTGATATAATTGAGAATTTGAGACCTGTCCCTAACTCAAATTTATGCACAAACATGATCTTTTAGACTCACCAGAAATGCTGAAAACATTGTAGCAACTGATGCACCAATGAAACCCTCCCAAGTCTTCTTTGGTGAAAGTTTGATTAATGGCGTCTTCCCAAAAAAGAAACCAAAGATATATGCAGCTATATCATTGATCACAATAAGAGAAGCTGGCAGAAGAAACCTGAATATGAAGTCACAAGCAATCAGATTTGTTAGCAATACAAAATCATTAACCAATCAACCAGATCAGCATCGCAAAACTAGATAAAAGAAACACATAAAACACCATCTTAAATTAAAACCTACACTAATCTTTGGAAGAACTAATAACAGAAATTATGTAAACGCTAAAATAAGTGATTCAAAATGCAAAATAATGCCCCCCCACCCCCAAAACCACCACCAAAAAAACAAAGAATATGGAGTCGCAAGCAATCGGATTTGTTAGCAGTACAAAATCTTTAAACAATTAGATAAACCAATCAACCATATCAGCATGGTAAATATACATGAAAGAAAACAACCATATTAAGTTAAAATCAACCGATTATCCTTAGAATAACACGTGAATTTATCTAAATGCTAAAATAAGCGATTCAAAATTATGTGCATCCCCCCAACCCCCAAACCCCCCCCCTTCCGAATGATTATGAGTTAAGTGTTAATACTCCCATTCTAGCGTCAAATATAAATATGACCATATAGATTATCATAAACATAAACAAGTCATAATCAAATCAATTTACCTGCCCAAACAGAGGTGAGTAATCACGACGCATGTCCTCCTCACGTTTCCAAGAAGCCTCCTCAGCTCCTTTCCGGTTCCATTGAACTTTAACTAAATAAATATTTTCATTCGGACATATAACATATTTTTTATTTCGCTCGACGTACTACGTCTCGTGTTGTAGATTTCTAAGTATGAATTTCATTAGATATGGGAAAATAATCTAGGTAGACTATGTTTAATAGATAGAGCTTCCACTATATCTAGCAGCTCTTCCCCTAGGGACGGATGGATACGATCTTGCTATAGCACTCTGACGCTCTTATTGTTGTTCCTTTTGTTTTAAATTTCTTTTCAGGCAGCTCAGAGTTTCGGAAAGCCGCAGGATGACGTAGTTCTTGCATAGTCTCCGTCGCATATATTATTATTCACTACAACACCTGAAATCTACCATAGCGGCTGAAAAACGCTATGGTATTATTTCATAGTGTTTTAATCAACGTTGTGTCAGAACCCGCTATAGTAGGTCTGTGGTTTTAATCAACGCATTAGCAGACAGTCTAAAAATAACATAAAAACTAACCAGTAAATAATTAAAATGAATGGAAACACTCTTTAATGTTCAAATTTTCATGAATACAAATTGACAAATTTATAAGAACATATGAATCCAAAGATACAAGATATACTTCAAATTTCACTTTCCCTTGTAGTGGTTTTGCAGATAATGGAAGCAGCTAAAGTTGTTTATTTTCTACATATTTACATCTCTTTATCTATGGAGCTTTTTTAGGGACTCTTTCCATATAACCACATATTAACAACAAGTAAATGGTAAACCCACAAGAGCTTTTTGCAATTAAGAGTCGGTAGTTGATGTTTCCAACACTAATTTAAATAATTAATTTCACAATAAGCTAGCCTTTAAGAATCAATAGTTTCTGAATCCTCCAATAAGAGAGAGCTACACTTTTCCTCCGTGAAAGTTGCATTTTATTTATATGGCAGTTTACTATTCAGATGGTTTGAAATCTCCACATCAAAGGATCTAAAAGTCATTTTCATTATTATTTTCACTTTTTCCTCCGTGGTGAGGGATGCAACTATGCATTCTATTTGTTAAGATGTGAAATTGTAACGTAAATCCACCAAATGCAAGTGAAGACTCATGGACAAGAAAATTAGAAATCTTAGATTTCATATCAAAACATTTCAGAAAAGAACAAACTGCAACATCAATATTCAACATTATTTACAAATCCAAGAGAAGATATAAAACAGCTATTATCACTAAAAATGAAAAATGCTTCTTCTAGAAAATAAAGGGATCATTCTAACCTGCAATATATAAGAAATAACAGATGAACATATGATACTTGATGAGCCCGCTAACAAGCTTATAAAAAAATTTATCTGATGTTACGGTGTTAACAAGATGTCGGCTGAGGAAGCGCCCATAAGTATACAACATTGCAGTGAAGAAAAAATGCCTGCAGGAAGCAATACAAAGATAGAAGTGAGACTTAATATACCTCAAACAACGACATCCAAATGTGCTTGGAAAACATTATTATTTTTAGGACACGTTGCAAGGAATATAATGAAATGCGCTGACAAACCTACCAGTTCAAGATCCTAAATCCAGGAAGTTGTCTGTCTTCATTAACTTTCCTCAGTAGATTGAACAACTCCTTAGCCATAAAGATCTGGATGACAACGATCATGGCCCAAATATATAGATGCCCCAAATAGATAATAAACGCAAATCCCCCTATCATCCATACTGTAGAATATGTACGAACTAGCATTGATTTGTATTTGTTTTGATCATTGACAAGCAAAGCAGAACCATTAGCTTTATTGGACTGTAAAGAACCCTGTAATAAATGGCAAAAGTTTCCTTTAATATTTTCGGTGTGAAGCATAATAAATATGACTTGAAAATGCGACTACCCAATAAAAATTTACATTTACACTATAATGTATTATCAAGAAGATGTAGGAATATAAGAAGCCATGACTGTATTGCTTTTCTATAATAAGATATGGCAATTAAACATCAATAGATACTTTGTAACCTATCTAGATTCTATCTAGTGATGTATAATGATCACACTTTAGCTAATCACCCTCAGATCAAATTAGCTGATTAATTTGACTGATACTCATTAATCGGGCCAGGAAACACAGATTACTATGAATCCCAATTATGGAAAAAAGACTCAATTGAAATACTAACCTCACTCGGACGCTTTCGATGTCGTATTCGACCCGAAGAATTTGGTGGAGGATCATTGGTGTTGTTGTCCCTTTGCATGATTGACAAATTGAATTATCTAAAAAAACAAAATTAACATACTTCATAAGAAACCAAAACGAATTATACCTTGCAAATCTATCACTATGAGATTTTTAACCCCAAATACACAGTGAAGACACGGGAATGATTCAAGGGGTTGTTCCATATTTCTACAGTCATGTGATTGCTTCATATTTTCAGTAATTAAAAAATCGAGTCCTTAATACAAAAACAATTACGCATAGGGTTTCTAAGTGCTGTAGCTGAAGAAAATGAGCAACAACTTTCTGCAAAAAATAAAGAGAAAAAAGAAAAACTTTGCTAAAATATAAAGTAATTCTACAAAAGAAGAATATTTGAATTCTGTATACAAAAAGCACAAAAAAATTTGAGAATTGGGAAATAGCCCAAATCAAAATTGACAAAAGATTAAATTTATGGATCAATATCTGAGAGATATTACCTTCGATCGACGCGCGAGAGAGAGAGAGAGAGAGAGAGAGAGAGAGAGGCGAATCGGAAATTTTGGGGCAGAGGCAAACCCTAAAAGCTGGGACTCGATTCGTAACAAAAGTTTGAGATGGTTGTTATTTGCAATAAGTTAAATCATTAGGACTAAATTATAAAATCTATTCCTCAACACAAATAAAAACAGGATACTGTAGCCTTAGCACGTGGAATACTATAGCTTTTTTTTAAAAAACTGTTATGGAGGTGGGATACTGTAGCGATACAAGAAATACTATCGCAGCATTTAAAATCGGGATTATTGTAGCAAAAATGATGTACCATACCTTACTTTGCACGGTGTTCACACTAGTACGAAATGAATAGTTCGTAATCATATATTGGAGATGAATAATTTGTATACAGGTTTAAATTGAGTTAATCCGTTAAACTAATGGGTCCGCTAATTTACATCATTAGAATAATCTCTTTATATATAATTAATAATTATAATCCTTAATATTTCAAACACTAAACAATATCACGATAAGAACAAATTTTACTAGGATTAGCTAGTTTAATCATTCAGGCTACCAAATGAACTAAATAAGTTAATCATTGTACTTATACTTCATCGGAGAGAGAGAAAACTCTCTATTCATACGTATACTTTTTCTCATTGAATCTCAACCTTAGGGCATCTCCAACCCAGCACCAAAATGGTGCAAACAGTGTTTTTTGTTGCACTGTTCATTCTCCAACCTAACCCTATTTTCTGCGCCATTTTGGTGCAGTTGAACAGTGCTGCACCAAATATGGAGTTGCACTGTTCATCCGCCCTATTACTGTTCATTTTAAAAAAAAATTTAAATATTTATTTTTACCTCTTAATTAATATAAAAATAGATAAAAGGAAATAAACTGAGAATATTCTGAGAATATTCTTTTTTGGTACAAAAAATGGTGCAATAGGTTGGAGATGTATTACTGTTTGATGTGACTTTTGCACCATTTTGATGCAAAATTTGCACCATTTTGATGCAACGGGTTGGAGATGGTCTTAGAACTTTTTATTAAGAAATAACTTACCTACCCCTTCTCCTATCAAGAATAATGAAGATATTAAAATCGAGAATCGTTTACACTTCTTTTGACCTAAAAATAAGCATCGATTCTTATTTATTTATTTATTTATTAAGGAATCTAAAAAAGAAGGATTCCATTTAAGAGCTTTCGTGAGAAGCTGACTCTAGATTTATATAGTTCGCACCTTCTTTAATTTCGAAAAAATCTGAGTAACTAGAATAATTGTGTATACTTATCGGGTAGACACGAAGCACGTAGGAGATGTTGACGGCTTTGAGAAGCGGAGCGAACACTCGTCCCTCAAAGGGCCCCATTTCTAGGCCCATACCCCTAATCTAGCACTAACCAATCGCAACGCGAGTGTCGAACACTCGCTGAGTACCCTCAGACTTTTCCCTGGAACGCGACACGGGTCAATTTTCGTGCGCGAATGACACGACACTTTCCGGATACCACCAAAAGAGCGAGACGCACGCCTTTTCGTCCTTCGTTTGTCCCTTTTCTTTACCGCTCGCGGCTCTAAAAATCCCTCTGCTCGTGATAGCTTCTAGCAGCGGGCGTTTGGACTGTAGTATAATCGAATCGATGCGTGTGTGGTCGGACCGAGCTTTAAACTAGATCACCATACAATTCTCAGGGTGGAGGAGTCCAACAAAGAGCCATCTTGTGTATAACATCACACAGGGAGCTAACAAATTTTAACCTAAAAGCTATAACTATCAGGTATTGACCTAAACTCCTATTTAAACTCATCACTCTTTCTTATTTTATCCGATGTGTGAGTATACTCACATATTAATCATCTCAACAGTATAAACTTCTATTCTGTTAAGAGCGTATCCAGTGATCTGTCTATAACATCAGTGGTGCACCAAAGGAATACCTCAGAATCATAGTTGTGTTAATTTCTTTTTTTTTAATAAATGACGGGTTTGACGTTTCTTAGATGAATTTAACCAGAACCATTACGTCATCCCTTCAAAATGTCCCTATATGATTTTATTTACTTATTTATAAATATAGAGGACTATCTATAGGATATCTTTCCCACTTGATCCCACGCTATCACAAGTCTCATTTGTGAGCCACACATATTCACTGTAGTCAGCTTGAGTGTTACAGCGTTTGTACGTGCGTGAGGAGTTAAATCGATCAGATGCTAACTTACTTTCTCTCATTGATTTTGGATCATTTATGTATGAGAGGTTGCAATCTCTCAGAGAAATTAAGCTAGCTGAGAGAGAGAGAGAGAGAGAGAGAGAGAGAATGGTTCCTTCAATTTCGACAGAGTCGTCGGAGTTGAAGCACACTCCGACTTGGGTGGTTGCCACCGTCTGCACCATCATCATCGCCATCTCGCTATTGGTTGAGAGACTCCTTCATTACCTTGGAAAGGTCTCGCATTAATTCTTGAAGTTTTTCTTGCCATCTTCTGTGTTTTATAAATTTGTTAGCGTAATTAAATGCGGATGCTGTACCAACACTCGCCATCTATTTCTTTTATTTGCACTTTGCACTATTTGAATCTTAGATGATGTTATTTTTTTATTTGCCCTCGATTTAGATGCAATTTAGCCTTTTTGTCAGTTTAACTGAGGGTAAAAGGCAATCTATCATAAGGTGATTCCCACTTATATGCTCATGGTACATGAGGTGCATCTGTAATTAACCAAATAAAATAAACTAGGGCACGGGCAGGGTAGACCAAAATGAGCAACAGTTTGAGGCACCAAAAAGAATGTGACAATTGTTAGGATGTAGTCCGCATGTAATAACAAACTCTCATTTGGTATTAATAATTGTCTGAAATGACATAGCACAAGTGAATGCAGATACAAAAAGTGTATTAGCCGAAACGACGTGAAAATCAGCTCAAAAGCTTACTGGTAAAAATTGATGATTTTCTGGAGAGAGGTTTTCAAATCATTGATGGTATGCAGGAACCCATCAATGAGGCCTTGACACCATCAATAGTCGAGAGGCATCATTGATTGGTAAGTCTACTGTTGATTGTCTGAGTGGGATTGCACTGAATGAATTGACTTGATTCTTGATTTCGATTACAACTTGAATTACAAAAGAGTAGGAAACGAATTCGGTTCTTCCTCTTTGTTTTAAAAACCTGGGTTCTTCACGTGGCGACTGGAAGTTCCCCGAATGCACGTGTCGAGTGTTGCTCTCCGTTGACAGATCGTACGTCTTGTTCAACTAGAACCATGTCTTCTCCTTCACGACTTTGACGCTTGTGGAGAACTTGCGTGGAGGTTTAAAAAACTTCTTGACGCAGTTGCATAACTCTGAACATTTAACTCTTGAAAAACGAGTTTGTTGAACCGAAGATTCGGTTAATGTAGTCCAAGTCTAAAGAAAGCTCTGGTTGGTCGATCTTACTGAGGATGAACGTCGATCTCTCCTCTTGCCTGCCGAATTTCTCAATCACGAAAGATGCCAGTTCTCTTCCGATCAAGTCACAGCCAAGAAAAAAATCCAAAACCTATTAACTCAGTTGAGTTTACCCTATATTTTATAGGGCGAATAAGGGGTGTAACCCCGCCCGCCCTTAATTCTCCTCCATAATGGTGTAACCGCCCAAATCGTAGCACCGTTTTAAACTCGTTAGTCCAAATAGGTTGAAAATGAGTCACAATGCCCACGTTGGCCGTTTAGGATGTCTAAACTCGATAATGTTTTTTTTTTTTTTTTTTTTTTTTTATTTTAGACTGGATGACTTCGGAGTGGGTCTCCCGCAGGGCGTAAAATAAACACTGAGGGTCGTACCTTGGCGTTTCTTGATCGCTTGTGGACCGGGTTCGCCCTGGCGTTTTGATGTTTGTAACGCGGGTGTAGTGCCTTGGGGTCCGTTTTGATGTTGAGACGAGGTTTTCGACCTCTTGGCGGTTTTTGATGGTGTTAACGCGGGTTCGACTGTTGGCGTTTTGATGTTCGAACACAGCGGGAGGACCTCCGCTCTTGCCTGCGAGAGATTATCACCTGAAGTAATCTCTTTTTTCATAGCGTGTCAAGATCATTGTCTGGTAAATCTTCGTCTTGGCTCCTGAGAATTATGAGAGTCGTCAGATTGTAACTACCCGATGTTGATTGTGAAGGCTTTGAAGTACTGGGGATCGCTTGTGGGGTGTTTGCGTGCCTGAGTAAAGCTTCCATCAAGGTTTCGTGAAGGTCTCAAGTTGAACCTTCAGCAAATCTACGCGAAGTCTCAGATTAACAACCTTCTTGGTAAGTTCGTCAGATTATAACTTCCGATCATCGTGGTTGATGGCGGATAAGGCTAATCTATTCGTATTTTTAGACAGTGGCCAAACAGAACCCCCTCCAAAGTTTTCTAAAAGTTCGCGTGGACTGGATGATTTCGGAATACCTTGGATCTTAACTCTGACTTAGAGCTGTTGTATCCTGTCGTAAAGGAGTTATCCTCACTTGATTTTGAAAAAGCATCTGTTAAGGGAATTCCAAGTAGACTTTGGATTGCCATCATAATCCTGCTTCTGGAATGCGAGGGTGGACCCCTACGTTTTGAATTTGAGACGCGAGGCTGACTTCGGCGTTTTGAATTTGAAACCTGGGTGTGACCTCGGCGTCATGATTTTTGTAACGTGGGTCTGACCTCTACGTTTCTAAAGTTGGAACCCGGGTGTGACCTCGGCGTTATGATTTTTGCAACGCGGGTCTGACCTCGGCGTTTTGACTTGAGACATGGAAGTGGCTTCCGTGCATTTTTGACTAAGTCTTTGAGACTTGTCTTCAGCTTATTCGTTTCAAGTCCCGGCTCACATCCATTGAGCTGATGGGCCTTTAAACATGCATAGGATTTTTGGCAAACCCTCAGCCATCAACGGATTTTATAAGCCTTTACCGACTACCGTTTGAGTCGGGCTAGCATATGGATTGTCTAAGTCCGTTCCACATGTAACGTTGTGCTAAGAGAATGAACCCTCTTAGACTTGATGCTATGATTTTGAATACATAGACTTTGTCATTTTTACGGAAAAAGACTAACCGGCGACGCGTGTTAGACGTAGACTTATCTCTAATTAGGGGTCGAGATAACGTCCCCCATGCGTGTAAGACATGGATTTTGGCGTTATTAATAACGACCCGCTACGATGTTGAATACGTAGGCTTTGCTATTATTACGGAAATAGGTTACCCGGCAGCATGTGTTAGATGCAGACTTATCTCTGTTTAGGGGTCGAGATAGATTTCCCCAGGCATGAATCCTGGTGTCTTTTTCACGGCGAAAGATTAACCGGCAACGCGTGTTAGGCGTAGACTTATCTCTAATTAGGGATCGAGATAAAGTCCCCCATGCGTGAAGGCATGGATTTTTGGTGTCGTTTCTTCCTGTGTGGCTTGAAACACCGAAAGAAAGTTGAAAGTGCCAGAGGTATGGTATTAACTTGGCATGAATTTTCACCTAAAGTGAAATTCAAAAATTTTCTTTATTATCACTAGGATAATTCTAGAAAATACAATGGAATCATTAATGAAGAAAGCAACGAATTTTCCCGCGAACAAGCGCGCAATCGACCGCTATTCGAGAGAATAGCGGTTTTCTCCGCCTAACCCAGCCGCAAACCCCTTAAGCGGGGCGGTGAAGGTCCGCGACCGCCAAAGGCGGCGCTATAGCGCCGCTATCCGCCGCTTTTTACAACAGTGGTGTTATGTTAACCTAACAGTATTTTATGGACCTATCGCTCTATTGAAGAGAGTCGATAAGTGGATTTTTGTCAGAGGTGTAGTGTTAACGTGACAGGAATGATGTTGCGATTGGAGCAACTTTGTGGACTTATCATCCTATTGACGAGGATTGATAAGTGAATTTGTCAGAGGTTTAGTGTTAACGTGACAAGATGTGTGTTGCGATTGGAGCAACTTTGTGGACTTATCATCCTATTGACGAGGATTGATAAGTGAATTTGTCTGAGGTTTAGTATTAACGTGACAGGATGTGTGTTGCGATTGGAGCAACTTTGTGGACTTATCATCCTATTGAGGAGGATTGATAAGTGGATTTTGTCAGAGGTTTGATGTTAACTTGACAGGATGTGTGTTGCGATTGGAGCAACTTTGTAGACTTATCATCCTATTGACGAGGATTGATAAGTGGATTGTCAGAGGTATAGTGTTTGTTAACGTGACAGGAATGTGTTCTTGTGACTTGCACAAGATTTTGGGAATTAGCGTCTCGCTGGGGGGACTTGCTAGGTGAGTTTATCATCAGGAACAATGAGTTTTGATACCTGTGATTTGAATTCGATTTTGAAGACTTATTGTCTTGCTGGGGAAGATTGCGATTTGAGCAATTTTGAGGACTTATAATCCTATTGTCAAGGATTGATAAGTTGATTGTTGTCAGAGGTATATTGTTAACGTGACAAATTGGGAGTGATGCAAGTTGAATGCATACTCTGTGGGGATGATGATCGTCAGAAGTGTAATGTTAACTCGACGATGTGAAAGATTCGTTACTCTTAATCCAATGGATTCCAAGTAACCAACCCCCAGTCTTAATTAAGACTTAGCAGGGGAAGAAAAAGAGGTAGACAAGGCACATCGCCTAGTGAGGCACTATCCATAAAGTCGAAATAGAGGCACATCACCTGGTAGGCCATTATCTGCTGAGTTTGACTATCAGAGGTAACTGTTAACGTGATAGTTTTTGTGGACCCGACATCCTACTTGAAGAGGATTGGCAAGAGAATTTGGAGGGAATGGACTATCAGAGGTAATCATTAACGTGATAGTTTTGATAGACCCGCCATCCTATTTGAAGAGGATTGGTGGGGGAATTTGGAGAAAGCAGACTATCAGAGGTGATCATTAACGTGACAGTTTTAGTGGACCTGTCATCCTGTTAAAAAGGATTGGTAAGTTGATGGACTATCAGAGGTAAATGTTAACGTGATAGTTTTGTGGACCTGCCATCTTATTAAAGCGGATTGACAAGTTGATGGACGTGATAGTTTTGGTAGATTCTGTGGTTGACAGAGGTATTTTATTAAACATAACAACTCAGAAAATTTATTACTCATAATCCAATGAACTACAAATAAACCAACCCCCAGTCTTGAACAAGTGCAGGGAAAAAAAGGAGTAGGCCACTATCTAATGAGTTTGACTATCAGAGGTAGTTGTTAACGTGATAGTTATTGGAGACCCGGCATCCTACTGAAGAGGATTAGCTTCAGTGGTCGTAGTATCTTCTGGTTCTGACTGGGAAGAATAAGCTTGGTCCGATTGCTCAGGAGAAGATTGGGCTTGGTCCGATTGCTCGGGTTGATCCTGCCTACTTTGTTCTTCAGCTTTGATCCTGGCAATAATCTTCTGAGCCTGTTCGCCTTGAGAGATCAGTTATCTCCAAGAACGACATTCTG